TCTTAGGAACCTTAAGTGCAGCAGAATTTTTTTTGTAACCTTGGCCAGATCTGTGCCTTGCCAGAATTTTGTCTCTGAGCTCTTCAGGCAGTTCCTTTGACCTCATGATTCTCATTTGCTCTGACATGCACTGTGAGCTGTAAGGTCTTATATAGACAGGTGTGTGGCTTTCCTAATCAAGTCCAATCAGTATAATCAAACACAGCTGGACTCAAATGAAGGTGTAGAACCATCTCAAGGCTGATCAGAAGAAATGGACAGCACCTGAGTTAAATATATGAGTGTCACAGCAAAGGGTCTGAATACTTAGGACCATGTGATATTTCAGTTTTTCTTTTTTAATAAATCTGCAAAAATGTCAACAATTCTGTGTTTTTCTGTCAATATGGGGTGCTGTGTGTACATTAATGAGGAAAAAAAATTAACTTAAATGATTTTAGCAAATGGCTGCAATATAACAAAGAGTGAAAAATTTAAGGGGGTCTGAATACTTTCCGTACCCACTGTATATATATATATATATATAGCACCAGTAGATTTATCTCTGAGTTTCGCTATGAATGATACACATGCCAATTTCAGAGACATTAGCTTTGGCTTGATAATGTATACATGCACAAATATTTGGATGTCAAAATAATGTCTTGAATCTGGAGCACTTTTCATTCAAAAGGTCCTTTGAGACTGCTGAAGCGAAGAAAATGAATACTTCTTAGAAAAGCACTCATGTCGTGTACACAAGAGCCAGCGCTCTGATAAACATTCAACAGCAAATCACATAAGAACATCAAGATTTTTCTTTATGTTGCCTCAAGTATGTGCAATTGCTTCTATGCACATTATTACGCACGCGCACTTGGCTGGATTTGCAACACAAACATAAAAACGGGAGAACAGTAACCTCGTTTTTCTCCAGACTGCACTCCTCCATCATTTTGTCACCCTGCTCTTGGAAGGTGATGATGATGAGGGCCACAAATATGTTGACGAAGAAGAAGGGAAACACCACAAAATAAATGACGTAAAAGATGGACATCTCCATTCTGTTTCCCTGACTGGGACCCCGGTCCTCCTCGGTCACATCCACAGAGTGCTGCAAAACTCTACAATGCCAAAGAATCTAATTACAGACTAAACTATATACATTTATCTATGCTATAATATATTTGGACACTTTGTGGCTGCCAAACATTAGTGGAACAGGTGAATAGTTAATGTGATGAACCACATCTGTGGTTACTCTGTAAGGACACCTGTCTGAACTTGAGGGGAGCTGACTTCATACATTTACAACTACTTTAGAGTAGTTGGTTTAAAATCATTGCAAAATGGCTCAGAAAAGTGAAGTTAGTGCTCTAGCAACATTTGTTCAAATATGCCACTTGATTTGAAAGCCACTTGTCTTGCAAGCAATGTTTTTTGCAGTGCAAGTTACCTCTAGAATAGTGGCTCTCAACCGGGAGGGCGCAGCCCACTATGGGGCATCATTGATTCTCCAGAGGGCCACGAGAATTAAATGTATTCATATCATTCATTAATTGTACAATTATTATGTTAAATTAAACAATTAACAAAAGACCAAATCTCTCCTATGTATTCTGAGCAGCCCAAGCCATTTCTTTCAGTGTTGTGAAATACAGACTGAACGGTGGCTCAAAACACCTAACCACTGCAGGAGCATATGATACGCAAATTACAGCTCTTGGTTGGATAAAACAAACCAGCGTCATGCTAGTAAAGTTTTGATTGATGACTGTAATTGAATTACAGTAGCATACAGGAGTCGTACATTAGGAGCACGTGAATCTGTTATTATTGATGCACAAACAAACCAGATTTAGCAGAGTAAGTACTTTTAAGTTGCAAAGAATGTCTGCAGTGAGAATTTTTTTTCAAAATATTTGCAAAAAAGAACAGTAAATTAGAAAATGGGGGGGGTTGGACAGGGATGGTTTTGATGTGGAGAGGAGAGGGGCTTTGAAGTAAAAAAAGGTTGAGAACCACTGCTCTAGAAAGTGAAAATGTGTTTCTGAATTAGCAGATATCAGCACACAGCTTCTAGAAAGGTCTTAAGTAGAATGCTTATCTTCTTAAGGTTTAATTAGTTTGTCAAAATGATACAGTGTGAAAACATATATACTAAAGTTGGCTCTTACTGCGGCCACCCTTCCCCAGTGGATACAGT